CGGGATGGCTTAATGAGTGAAGAGTATTGGATACTTCTTGACAAAACTGAGGCGTGAGTTATGGGCGACAACAGTGGCCATAAGTGTCATAGAAGAGGAATCTAGCTATGACGGGAATTCGATAAAGCTTAAATTTCAGGGACTGTGGCAAGGAATGTATAGTCTAATGGCATCAACTACGACATTGTCAGCATGGTTATCTTATTGCTGGAAACCAGGCGGGTTGTTGGTTGAAGCCTTTATGGATGTTAATGCCTGTGACTCTTGAACGTGGCTGTGTTGCCCTTGTAGAAATTTTTCTCTAAAAAAGTTTTAATAAGTAATAATAATAAGAGTTTTTACTTAAAAACTCTGAATAAGACTTATGAAGTCGGAAAAAGTCAGAATAAGTCCTATTAAGTTTATTTATAGTTTATAGTTTTTTATTTATTATTTGGGAGTTTTCTGGAAGAGAATAAGACTTTTATCAGAGAAATTGTAGATAGGTAGCTATAGCGATTAAAATAAATAAATCAGAATTATTCCGTTGTATTTGGTTATTGTAAAAGAAAACAAAAAGAAAAGTATTAGTATGAGTATAAGGACGTATGGCAGGCCCCATCGGCAACGCCTTACACTGATCTTCCAGGGTTATTTTACCCCCTTTCGGTTCTCATACGTATCCCGCTACTGCACAGCGTCACCCCGGCAGGTAAATCTTCCCTAGGAGATCGTGGTTAAGGCCACTCGCGGATTTTTGTCGCCGGGTCGGACCCTACGCCAGATTTAGGCTAGTAGAGTATACGACAAGAAGGGACAATATGGTTTTTGGGGGCCTTGAACTGACACAAAACTAAGTACAATCCGGATTCCCCCTCACCCAGGGTTTTAGTAATAACCCCATTTGGTGTATTAAAACTAAACAAAATTACAAAATAATAAATTTAAAGAACCATAAGAAATAAAGAACAAAAAATAAAGAGATAAGAAATAAATAACAAAGAAGCCAAGAAATAAAAGATAAGAAAAACGATAACAAAGAAATAAAAGAAAATAAAGAAATTAGAAAAAGGAGGAGAAGAAGGAAATTAGAAGAAAGAAAATAATAAATTATAAATGCAGATAATTGCGGTTATAAATTATTCGTCGAAGCCGAATAAAAGAAAATAAAAGCGGGTACAAATATCATCTAATAACATCTGCTTATGTCCAGCATCGCTATATCCGGTTGTGTTTTATGTACGGTTAGTGCACCCCCACAATCATCTGTAATCATCTGTTTTTAACCGTCTCCACTGCGGTTCGTTTATATCTGTATTTGTCCGGGGTCATCTGCAAACGTCTGCTTACATCTGGTTTTATCCGCGATTACCTGCATTTTTTTATCTATTTTTTCGTCTGGTTTTATCCGCGAGAATCTGCTTTTACCTACAAGCATCTGCCTAGTCTAATTTCACCCGGAAACATTGCTTTTATCTGCGAACACCTGATTTTATCCGCGATTATCTGCTTTCACCAGCGAACATCTGCAATCACCTGCGAACATCTGCTTTCATCAACAAACTTCTGATTTTAACCGGTTTTACCCGCAAACATCTGCTTTTATCGGCGAACGTCTGCTTTCATACGGTTTCACCCATAAACATATGCTTTTATCTGCGAACGCCTGATTTCATCCGGTTTGGCAACCCCCGAAATCATCCGAAATTATTTGCTTTTTACCGGCTCTACTGCGTTTCGTTTATATCTGCATTTAACCGGGATCTTCTGCAAACGTCTGCTTACGTCTGGTTTTATAGGCGATTACCTGCATTTTTTTGTCTATTTTTGTCGGGTTTTATCGATAAATGTCTGGTTTTATCTGCGAGCATCTGATTTTACCCGCAATCGCCTGTTTAGTCCAATTTTACCCGAAAACATCTGCTTTTATCCGCGAACATCTACCCACTCGCAAACATCTGCTTTCATTCGCAAACGTCTTATTTTATACGGTTTTACCCGCAAACATCTGCTTTTATCCGCGAATAAATGCTTTTACCCGCGAACCTCTGCTTTCATACGGTTTCACTAGCAAATAAATGCTATATAGATATACGTATACGTATACGTATACGAATGGCTGATTTCATCCGGTTAGTGCACCCTCGCAATTATCCGTAATTATCTGCTTTTCACGGGCTCTACTGCGTTTCGTTTTTGTCTGCATTTGTTTGTAATTCCTTTTAAAGTTATAAAGTTTTAACAACTAGTTCGTGGATAAATGCAGATGTTTGCGGATAAAAGCAGATATTTTCGGATTAAAACAGATTTTGCAGGTGAAATCGGATAAAGCAGACTTTTTCGGATTAAAGTATAGGTTTACGGATCAACGCAGACGTTCACACATGGAACAGATGTTTGCAGGTGAAACAGGACAAAATCAGATGTTTGCGGATAAAAACAAATGTTTGCGGATAAAGGTAGATCTTCGCGTATGAAAGCAGATGTTTGCAGGTGAACTCGGATGAAGCAGACGTTTGCGGATTAAAGCAGATGTTTACAAACCAGACGAAAGCAGACATAGAACTAAATAGAGAAAACCCAACGCAATTGCAGATGAAAACCGACATGCCGGGTAAAATCAGAAATGTCGGATGAAAACAGAAATAAATGAACATAAAACTAGCTTGGTTTTTTATCCAAAATCCCGTCTTTTTCAACAGGGTAATATTAAAAAAGTGAGAAAACATAAAACATAAAAATAATTTGACATTTAAAAAAAACTTGTAGGGCTAAAGCGGTTAGATAAATATTTTGGGGAATTATTTTCTAATTTGTTTAACTCTTTAGTGGTATTTTAAAGATTATTCTTTGACGTTTATTATAGAATTTTGTTAGGTTTTAAAAGATGTCATATTATTTTCGCTAAAATAATGTACAGTTACTATTTTTGTCTATTTCGATGCTACTAAGAGTTCTTAGACGCAGTTCTACCATTGATTAAGACTCTTTACTCAACGGTGCTATTAATAATAATTAATATAAGAGCTTCTTGGAAGCATCGAAATTGGGGATTTTTTATTTTAGACTGTTGGCAACTCTTAATTTTCCAGGTTTTAAAAACATCGAAATAGACAAAGCAAAATTTCACGTCAATTGTGTCAACCTAGTAACATGAATTAAACTACTTTTTTATATTTATTTAATTTTATTAATACAATATGGTCGAAATAGACAAAATAATATTTAAATAAAGATAAAAAGAAAGGAACAGATATGCTACTAAAATTGGCGATTATTTTTCTATTTACCTTCTCCATAGTAACGGATGTATTATTATATAGAGAGATACCAAAGTGACATTAAAATGACTCTCAACAAACACCACTCGAGGTTCGATTAATCAGGACATTTATGGACTTTTAACTCAAACTTGATGGTTTGATAATTTTGCGAGAAAAAATTTGGGCGATAAAATCACGAGAGCGTAGCTGCTTTCGATAACAGCAAATCTAAATAGCCAAGAAATAAAATGAAATATCGTAGTATAATTTGTATTTGAAAAGCGGTCCTAGTCTCCGGGATTCCCTCAAAATGGCCTGAGTAATCTTTTTTTTTAATCGAATTCATTTTATGTAGACACTGTGTTATATACTCGAAAATATTAAATTAAAATTGCTTCCAAAATAGCTTCACCTCCCTATTGTAAATGACCAATAGAATCCAATAAAAAATAAGTAATTGGTTTGAATTGGTTTGAAATGTGTTTTGGCGCTATGAATCACCAATTCATTCCAGTTGAATTCCTATTGGTAATTTCCAATGAAGTCAGCGGCTTGAATTGGAAAATACCAATAGAATCCAATAAAAAATAAGTAATTGGTTTGAATTGGTTTGAAATGTGTTTTGGCGCTATGAATCACCAATTCATTCCGGTTGAATTCCTATTGGTAATTTCCAATGAAGTCAGCGGCTTGAATTGGAAAATACCAATCCATGCCTATGCTTGTCTCTTGGCTAAATCCAATAGAAATGCACATGGAATGAATTGGTAATGCATAGCGCCAAACCCATTCCAACCAATTAAAACCAATTAATTTTTTAAAATTTGGATTAGAAAATAACTACCAGTTTATTTTTCATTCAAAAATAATTTTAGATCCCAGAAGGATAACCGGGTAAAAACCAGAATTCATTTTTCACAGAAGAGACAAAAAATTTATTGTTACTGAGTAATTTTATTTCTTTATTATTTTTTTTTGTGATATGTATGTATTGATACATATAACTTACTATCACAAAAAAGTAATACAAAATAAATAAAATTACTCGGTTATAATCATTTTTTTGTCTTTCTTGCAAAGGATATTTGTATTGATACATATAACTTACTATCACAAAAAAGTAATACAAAATAAATAAAATTACTCGGTTATAATCATTTTTTTGTCTTTCTTGCAAAGGATATTTGTAGGCATGGTCGAAGTCGATATTGTTTATGTCAAATTTTTTTATTTTGTCCTTTGTGACATTCTTACGCTATCGTCCCCTAACCTTACACATATAAACATTTTTTTAATATATAAGTACACTACTAACACTACAATAAAAAAGTGCCTAACTTAAAAGAAAAAATATTATTATTCACCTAAAAATATCATGTAACAACAAATAAAATAAAAAATAATAAAATCGATCCGATTACTAGAACCGAAGATTATAAATTTTAAATGTGAAATAATCCAGTAAAATGTCAAATTTTAAATTCACCAAAATAACGTTTTCAAACTAAATCTTAATTAATAATAATAGATAAGAAATAACTTTTTTTTATAATAACTAAAATTAAATTTGAATGTTTTTGTACATGTCTTTAAAGATGCAATATGCGATATAAAACAAGTGCATGAACTAATGATGAACTAAGTGCATCTTTTTTTTAATATTGAAAGTATTGTTTTTAGTATTCTCATTAAATTAAATTACATAATTTATTTAATTTCATTATCTATAATATATACTAATATATTTTATAATTTTAGGTTGGGAACTACGAGGACTAAGCTGTTATAAATTTTTTAATATTAGACATTCCTGGGAAAAGGCTGCAGAAATTTGTAAAAGGTATGCCTAATTCGGAAATAATAAGGTGATCATTATAAAAATTAAATATATTTCAGAGGATAAAAACATTTTAAATATATTTTAAATATAATTTCTTTTAGGCAGTAAAAAGAAATTTTTGTTATTAATTAATTTTTAATTATTAATTAGTTACATTACAATACCGAATTAAATAAAATATATTAGTTTTTTCTTCCAACTTAAAATTAATTAAAACAACAGAACAATTTAATGACCTTATTCTGGCAGCCCCCTGTGGCAACATTAACTACCCCAAAAATACAAAAAGGGGGAGAAATAAGATTTAATTGGTTTACAGTCATAAAATTTCTGGTTACTTAATTAATAAAAATATTTATTGTTCAGTAGGTATTTAAAATTTTGTAACTAAATTATTAATATTAAAATGACTCGTAATAGGTTGCGGATTCTTCCTCCTTCTAAAAACAATAAAGCAAGATTTATAAATAATTCCAATTATTTAAATTTTGTCGCATTAGGGCCCTATTAAAAATGTCCTATAAAACCCATATTTAATCCGATAAGGAAACAAATTTGGTTTTATACAGTTTTATAGGTCCTATAAGAAACATTATGGTTGAATAGTGAATTTACCACTTTGATATTATATAGATTTATCTGGTGCTATATGTCTTTTTGGATAGGTTTTCCGTATATGGTTAAATATGGAATTTCATATTAAAATGTACCACATAAAGAAATTTATATGGTTTTATATGGATAGCACATAATGTCTTTTCTAATAGGTTTCATTACCTGATTAAATATGGCAATCCATATAGAAATCGTTTTCTATATGGTTTACATGCATGATACAAAGATTTACATATACAATCCTCTATCTGGACCTAGGTATATCTAAATATCGTTTTCTATATGGTTTAATGGACATATATTAAACTAGATAAGAACCGGATAAATAAATATGGCATTTTCAGACAAAAGAACATAATCAAACATGTTATAAATATTTTATTCATTATTTCTTTTTGAAGTGTTAGATTCTTTATTATTTTACTTTTTTAACTTTTAATAAATTATTTTGGCTATGTGGTCTACAATTTTTTATTAAAACGGCCTGTTTTAATAAAAACTTGTACCGCTGAACTATTTAATTTTATCTGTTTTAAGTGATTAATGAGTCATATGTTGTTTTAAATTTATACCTAATTGGATAAGGTTATATTATGGCTTTTAATTTATTTTTTTCAACAGGATTTGATTTTATTAAAATTACTTGTTTTTTTAAACTTTAATAAGAAATTGTACAAAATATAACAAGAGTTTTAGTAAAAATTCAATTTTTAATATTAGGTATGGAAGTGATTTGATGACAGTGGAATCATTTAGTGAAAATAATTTAACAGCAAATATAGCAACGGGCTCTATACCGTTGGAACGTCGAGGAGCCATTAAATATTGGTTAGGACTTTCTTCACTAGATGACCTCAGAACTAACACTTTGGAATCTGCAGCAGGCACTTTAGTGTCACAATATTTAGGTATTATTTTTTTAAACAAAAAATTAGGCTTAATAAAAATTATAATTTATAAATTTATGTATTAATATTTTTAAATTATTATATCCTTAGGGTTTTGGTCTCGTAAACAACCGGAATCGCAAGCGGGTGAATGTGTTGATGTAACAGTGACTGAAGAAAACCAATCATGGGAATTAACAACTTGCGAAAATTTGTTGCCGTTTATGTGTCGGTCGAAGGCCTGTCCATTTGGTTCTTTTCATTGCTCCAATGGAAATTGCATAAACGAAAGATTTAAATGTGATAAGCAAGATGACTGTGGGGATGCTTCAGATGAATTAGATTGTTCATCTAATTGCAATTATTACTTGGCTAGTAGTGGAGATGTTATCGAAAGTCCTTATTATCCACATAAATATGCTCCCCTTACAAACTGCAAGTGGACTTTGGAAGGACCGCAAGGTCACAATATACTCTTGCAATTTCAAGAATTCGAAACTGAAAAAACGTTTGATACGGTACAGATATTAGTAGGAGGAAGGACCGAAGATACTAGTGTAAATTTAGCAACCTTATCTGGCCGTCAAGATTTAACAAATAGATCTTTCGTATCTGCTTCCAACTTTATGGTTGTTAAATTTAGTACAGATTCGTCAGTGGAAAGAAAAGGTTTTAGAGCATCTTGGAAGACAGAGCCCCAAACTTGTGGTGGAATGTTAAGAGCCACACCTCAAGGCCAGGTTTTAACTTCTCCGGGTTATCCTGGTCAATATCCCGGTGGATTAGAATGCCTATATATCATACAATCAGAAAATGGCAAAATAATAACTCTAGAAGTCGACGTGTTAGATCTTGAGGATTCTAAAGATTATTTGTTGGTTAGAGATGGTGATTCTCCAAAAAGTCAAGTAATAGCAAGACTAACAGGTGAACTGAAAGATAATAAAAAAATAGTTATGACAACCAATAATAAATTATATTTGTATTTTAAGACGAGTTTAGGAGAATCCCATAGAGGATTTAGAATTCGTTATAGTCAAGGTTGTAAGGCTACAATTATTGCAAAAAATGGCACAATATCATCACCAGCTTTTGGAATTTCTAATTATCCAAGTAACCAAGTATGTTTATATAAAATAAAAAATTTAGAAGGAGGTCCATTGTCATTAAATTTTGAAAGTTTTGAAGTGGACGCCACGGACACTGTGCAGGTTTATGACGGCTCGACCACAAGTGGATTAAGACTACACTTGGGTGTTGGTTTTAGCGCCAATTCCAAACCCAAAATCACTCTTACGGCTTCTAGCGGTGAAATGTTAATCAAATTTGCCACTGACGCACTACATAGCAGCAAAGGATGGAAAGCAACATTTTCAGCTGATTGTCCTCCATTGCAACCAGGAATAGGAGCATTAGCTTCAAGTAGAGATACAGCATTTGGTGCCATTATAACGTTCAGTTGTCCAACAGGTCAAGAATTCGCCACTGGTCTAAATCGTATTACGACCCAATGTATGCCTGGCGGTAATTGGTCTACAGCCTACATTCCACAATGCCAAGAGGTGTATTGTGGTCCTGTACCACAGATTGATAATGGATTTTCAATTGGCTCTACTAATGTCACCTATAAAGGAGAAGCAATGTATCAGTGTTATGCTGGTTTTGCATTTTCTAGTGGAGAAGCAATTGAAAAAATATTATGTTTGTCCGATGGAAAATGGGAAAAAAAACCTAATTGTTTAGGTAAAAAATATACATATACAATGTGTACCACTTAAGACCTTACCACCCTTGTGAAAATTGCATTTTTAAACCGATTTTATTAAAAAAAAAAATTGTTGGATAGATCTCTAAAAAAGGCTCTAATCGCATAGGTATGTCTCTTGTTTTGACGACTAAACTCATGGCCAACTGTGATCTCTTTTTGGGGTAGAAATTTCGAAGAGTATTATTAGGAATTTTTTTATAGCAAAAGTAAGTACGGATTTTTATTCGGAAACACTTATACAAGTTTTTATTGCTCTTAAATACTGGGTGTGCCGTCTGGGCATTTTTTAAATTTTATTGATAACAAAAACATTTAGATAGTGGATATTTTAATAATACCGAATGCTTTCCAAGCAACAAACTGAATTTACGACAGGATAGGTAGTCTAACTAACATGTACATCAAAATTATCAAAATCTTTAATTAAAATCCGACTGGAAAAATTCTTATTTAACCCTCCCGCGCTATATTATATATTATATTATATTAATTAAGCGAAGTATGCCATAGAAAACAAAAAATTGAAAAAATAATCAATAACTACTGTCACGGTTGTTGTCACTGTCTTTGATTTGCTTTTTTTAGTGTTTATCAAAACTAATATGGCTAATTCTTTATATAAATTTAAGAATGTCCCATCTGGCGCGCCCTGTATTTATGAGCGATAAATGGTCCTGAATAAGAATCCGTTGTAACTTTTGCTCTAAAAAAATCCCTAAAGTCGGTTTCATGTAGATGCGAAATGCGAATTGCAAAATACGAATATTCGCATTTCGAAACTCCTGTTTCATATAGATGGAAACTATTTTAGGGACATTGTTTTACCACCAGGCGATATTTTCCATGCTATTTTAGGTACTAAAATAGTAATGTTACTTAAAGTCACTACAAAGGTAAAATAAGAACACAGTAAAAAAAGTAGTGAAGATATTTAACTCTAATAAACTCTTAAAACATTCTATATGCGACGACCTTTTTTAGAGTTATATATTCACACTGATGATAGTGTAATAATTTATATTTCTAATGTAAATATTATAACGGTATTTAGTGTTACATTTAATTTACTAGTGCATAAATTTAACACTACTGTGTGTTAAGGGTACTCTGGGTAGTGACCCGTGAAAATAGTTTTGTTAATTAGAGTATTATTTTACACTATTTTTATAACATTTAGACTCTTGTTAATGAGTTATTTAATCTTTTAGAGTAAACAAACTACTCTATTTTTAGTTACTGTGCATACCTTTTTTACTCTGATTAGTAAACTCGAGTAAATCCTTAGTTGCTATAAAGAGAGGAAAATTAAAAACAAATATTTAAATTCAAAAGTATATTTTGTGAAAAATAACAAAATAAAAAAATCATATAACTAATGTTAACATAAAAATAAAAACAATGTAGGTATACATAATTAAAATATTTAAATTAACTCGAACAAATGTTTCTTTTAAATCAATGCATCCATTTTGAATGGGATTTGTATATGATTGGCTCGTTTCTGTTATTATCGGTTTTTAGACATAATGCCTAATCACATTTCAAGTTTTTACAATAAAATATTTTTAATATAAATAATAAGAAATAATGTACCTATTTTATACGTATTATGCAGCGGCACCCACGCACAAGCGAACCATTAAACAGCCCTTGGAAACAGCACTAAACTAAAATATATAGACGCTTTGCAATCCCCTCTACAAATAATAACCCTAATAATGTAGATTTAACTCTTTTTAGTGTAAAACTATACTCGCTTACTGTTTACTTTACTCTAATCCAAAACAATTATACACTAGCAAGCAGGGCCGGATTTACCATTCTTGCCGCCCCTGGGCAGTCATGATCTTGCCGCCTATTTTATCAAAGCTACGAATTCGTCGAAAAAAAATCAAACGAATTTAACATCAGTTTACATCAATGTTTTTATTTTTTACACAATATCTTATACAAATATGATTGTTGGAAACTAACCATACAAAAATACAGTGCGAATATAATTATAAGAAACTATGCATACAATATCAAATAACTATACAATCACGATAATCAGAAACTAGTAACTTTTCATTTTGTTTTGTCAGAACGCTAACATTATTCTCAGATAAATACTCGCCAAACTTTTTTATTAGCAAATTGAGTGATTAAGTTTTCGAAGTCTAAAGAACGGAGCAATTCAGATTCAATACTCAAAATTGCTGAGCTGTTGAGGCGATCTTCTGTCATCGTGGAACGCAAATAGTTTTTTATCCATTTTAAACAGGAAAACGACCTTTCTGCGCTGCAGTTGGTTACAGCAATAGTAATGAATATTCTATAGGCGATTTCAACATTCGGAAAAACGCAGGACAATTCATTTTCACGAATTGATTTTAATAATTCTAATGGAGACTTTTTGTGAATTTTTTTGGCATGACAAAATGCGTGGAAGTGAACAAACTCATCGTTCAAAGTCTGAGTGATAGATTTCTCTCAGTAATTTTGATTTTTCACGAATTTCCTCAGATTCCAGCTTATCAAATTGAACGATAATGGCAAAGTTTTCGTAAATTTCTTGATATTGATACAAAGATGCTAATGTTATTAATTTGGTTTTCTCAGTGGACCTCAAAATTTCCCACCGATGTGTTGACGTAGTAAAGAAGTTGTACAATGATTGAACAACGTTAAAAAATGATATTTTAGACCATATTCCGCCATCCGATGATAGAATATTTCATTATGTAAGAGTTTAAGGAATATATGCAATTCCACATTAAAAAGTGGTATTATATAATTACATTGTATTATATTCCGTAATAGGAGTAGAAAAAGACTGTTCCAGACTGTTCTGTTTACATAGTACCACATAGTACATACACGGTAATGTAATATTTGGCAGCACTACACTAGATAAAATTATTATACGACACAATATGGCAGCCACGGGGGAGGCGCCGTGTCGGGCAGAGCCAAAATTCAAATTTCCACTGCGCAATGTATAGTTTGAGATAAACTGAGTTAAGTTGATGAATTTTTTTCTAAAAAAATCGCCCTGTAAAATCATACATTTAGTTATATGTAATTATGAGGAGTTTGGATTTAACAAATGGGTGAATGTTTTAGCTTTCACTAATATTCTTAGACTATAATGATATCTTCGAAACCAAATTTTAATGTTTCGGAAAATATGAATCTTTCCACCAAAATTTGCCGCCCCAAAAATTTGCCGCCCTGGGCAGTTGCCCAAAGTGCCCATGATTAAATCCGGCCCTGCTAGCAAGAGGAAAACTAGGGAAATTTTAACGCAAATAGCGGTTGTAAAATACTAATTTATAGTGTAAATGTGTAACCTTTTACAAAGTCTAAATTAACACTAATGCGATTGTATTAGACATTCGAGTAAAAAATATAATATTTTTAGAGTTACATTATTATTACACTGTCAAATAATGTAATATAGAGTTATGTAGAGTAATATTAAGCTATAGAGTTAAATAATTGGTACATTTTACACTGAATATCAACTCTAAAATATTTACCAACTACACTAGCTACTTTACTCGGTCCATATTTTTTACTGTGAAACATCAATATAGGTACCTCACTCTTTTTCCATTATAAAAAAACAAAAAAACTTCAAAAACTTATTTAAACAGTTCGAATAAAACAAAATTAACACTACGATACAAACAAAATAAACATAAATGGCGTAGGTATGCCAAATTAGTTCGATTTTCGCAAAATATTGATCAATATCAAGATCCCCCCTAGATTCAAATCTTGCGAATTTACGCCAAATCTAATTAACCAATCGGAGCATTTTTCGCAATTTGCATTTCGCTTCTATAAAAAAGGGTTTAATAGTATCACAGTTTTTTACAAAAATAAGTAAAAAATGCATCTTTTTTAGGGTAGTATGGTCTTAAGTGGGACATATATACATACAGAATGGTAAAAATAAAACGGTACGGTCAGTTCAATTAGAGGAAAGTTGAAACCCTTTAAAATTGCGTTTAAAGATCAAAAAATAATCTAAATATGTGGTTCTCATTCTTCAAACCGAAAATTTTTCGAAGTATAATATGCAGATTTATCTAAATTTTCATCAAACTTGTATATTTTTCCGCCCACCAGATTTTGTTTTCTCTATGGCCGTCATATAAGAATTTTTTTGATAGGAAAAATTAAGGAATTTAACGGTAGATATATTTACTATTTTATTTTAGAACAAACCTATAAAATCAGCTTCCTAAATGTAACAAACAATCGAGTTACCAACATCATCTTTTGTTTTTCCTATAGCCTCCATATTGGAATTTTACATGATACAACGATAGAAAAAAATAAGGAATCCAACGTTATATCAATATATCAATATCAATAATATGATATACGGTTGAATTCCTCGATTTTTTCTATATTATTTACTAATTCACTTTGGAACAAACCCATAAAATCAACTTTTAAATTTTAACCTCGATTTTAACAAACGAGGTCGATTAAATTTACGAAAAGTTGCGCTTTTTATGACGTTAAAATAATTTTTCCAGGATTTCTATATTTGGGGGCCTTGTATAGCATATTGGATGGAGATTTCGTCTATTAAATACCATAAATTTCATAAAAAACGATTTTTTTAAAACAATTTTCATGTTGTTGTTCTATACTAAAGGATTAAATATGATATACCTTTGAATTCCTTGATTTTTCTCCTATCAAACTTTTCTCTAATTGAACATCTTTTACCGTTTCCAAGGTACAAATAATATATATAATTAATTACTTTATTTTAAAATGTTTACTTTAGCATCTCAATGTACCGTTCTTCCTGAAGCTCCGCATAGTAATGTTACAATATTAAATGGTTTGGGCCGATCTTATGGTACAATCATACGTTACGAGTGTGAACCCGGGTATATTAGAAGCGGAGCGCCTGTAATTCTTTGTATGAGCAACGGCACATGGTCAGGGGATGTTCCTGTATGTTCTAGAGCTAAATGTTTAGTTTTTCCTAAAATTAAAAATGGTTTTATTAATGAAATTAATAAAGAATACTTTTACAATGATGAAGCCCGTATTCAATGTTTTAAAGGTTTTAAGCTTATTGGAAATAGCATTATTCGTTGTGGTGAAAATCAACAGTTTAATGATCCACCAAAATGTGAAGATATTAACGAATGCGTGAGTACCCAATGCGACGTGGCTTCAACAGAGTGCATAAACGCACCTGGATCATTTTCCTGTAAATGTCGAACAGGTTTTGCTCCTACGTTAGATTGTAGACCAGTGGGTGATTTGGGATTAATCAATGGTGGTATTCCTGATGAATCTATATCCGTTTCAAGTAGTGAAGAAGGATATGATAAAACTGTAAGTATTTTTAACTAATTAATTAACAATAAAATAGTTTTTACTGAAATAATTATAATAATAATTTAATATTATTATTATTAATTAAATTGTTTAGTAAACACCCATTATCCAGTTTGTATAACAGACAGATTTTTATGCTTACTGTATATTAAATTAACTTCTCAAATGACCTTTCCTGCCGTCAGGAGGTACTTTTTTAAATGCCTATAGAATATTTATAAAACATTGTCTGTTTTTAGTACCTCCTGATGATGCCGAAAGACGAAACTAGTCAAGAAGATAATTAAATAAATATTCAGTAAGCACAAAAATCTGTCTTTTATTATTTATTATTCAGATGATCAAAGCCAACAAAAAATGTTTTTTTTTGGTGCCTAGGATTTCGAAACTGATTTTAGTTAATTTTGAGACACAGGAAATCAGTGTTTCTGATCAAAATAAAATAATATTTAAAGAGATTAATAATTAGCAAAGTACCTTGTATACTACAAAATACTTTACTAATTATTAATCCCTATAAATAATATTATAACAAGTCGTGGCTGTATAATCACGGATTAAAGCCAATTAAATTAATAAAAAAAAAAAATAATAATAATATTGTTTACTTGGACAAGTTGTAGTAATTAAAATTTAATAATAATTATTAAATTACTTAGAGGTACGTTACTACCTTAAAGACAATGTATATAAATTAACAAAGGAAAAAATAAGGCATTGGATTTTATTTAGCGTGAAGGGAATTCAAGTGAAAAAAATTGAGTAAATCATCCTGATATATTTTGCTACATATGGGAAGAATACACGTTAAAGAGAAAACAGAAAAAATTTTAGTGACTTTGTAAAGACAGCTTATCTTAGATGCTTTGGTGTTAGGTTTGGCGATTGTTTATCATTATATTGGAGGACTCCTGGAAAACATGGGTCTTCCTGCTGTTCAAGATAATTGGCGCCTATTTATTAAAAGCTTAAGGTGAAGTTTAAAAAGTGTCCTTGTACACAATGGGAACAAATATGATTTAATTCCAATTGCTCACTCAATGAAAGTAAAAGAAGAATACACCATAGTTTTTGTCTTGGAGAAGATCATGAACATCAATGGGTGATTTGTGTGGACTTAAAAACGCAAACTTTTTTCTTGGACAGCAAAGTGGCTACTCTTAATTCTTGTGCCTTTGGGATAGCAGAGATAAAACACTCCAATGGGTTAGAATAGAGTGGCCTAAGGGAGAAAACATTAACGAGCCCCTATTTAAACGAGAGAAAATCATCTTTCCTCCACTGCATATCAAGCTAGGTCTGATAAACCAGTTCATAAAGGCTCTTGATAAGAGCCGATCAAGCATTACATATATAGAGGGGAAAATGCCTCACTTGAGCTGAGAAAAACCTAAAGCAGGAATATTTTATTGCCAACAAATAAGGATACTGCCTTCGTAAATTCAATTAATGACGCTGAGCGGAAGGCCTGGACTTCATTTGTTGCAGTTGTCGAACATTTTCTGGAAAAACGTAAAGCTAAATACTGTTTTACTGGTAAACGAGATGCTTAACAGTTTCAAATCCCTTGGATGTAATATGATTATTAAGGTGCACTATTAATACAGCCCCTTAGATTGTTTTCTTGAAAATAAGAGACATCAATGAGGAACAAGGTAAAGGATTTTACCAGGATATTAAAACTATGGAGGACCGCTACCAAGGAAGATGGGATCAGCACATGATGGCAGATACATTCAAGAAAGTCGCGAAAAAGAACCTTTAGTGGCTTTAGTATGACCATATAGTTTCAAACTATTAGTTTGTTGAATGTTTTGTGTATCTTTTTTTGTAATATATTATAATTATATATTATTATAATATAATTATATATTTATATAATATAATACTCAACCTTACATTGGATTTGACCCATGTATTTAACGAGTACGTCCATTTCACTAAATTTGAGATATTTTAGAAATTTGAGCTGAAATTAGCTTCAAATACCCCGGCACCAAAATAGCTGTTGGCCTGTAATAATTATGAATGTTTTTATGAAAAATGTATCTATATTATACCTTGTATAACCCAGTGACGTAAATCAGTAAAAGAAAACGTTTCTAGTTTAAATTATTTAAAACTTTACTGAACTAAAAGTTATTTAATATTTCGGTAAAATCGCTGTGGGCGTAGAGAATAATAGTTTTATTAAAGAACTAATGTTATGACGTAATTTTTTTGCACGAGGAAAAATTCGAATTAAAAATTATATTTGCGTATAGTACTGTTGTACCATACGTGGAAGACAATATGGAACGCAAATGCGTATCGTAATATGCTTAATAAGCATTGCTTATTATGGTATGGTTAATAGAAAAAGACATTTTTACTTTATACGTACCATAGGACGTGAAAGAGTGTCTTCATAGAAAAACTGTTTATAAACAGTATTGGTAATCATCGTGTTATGAATCATGTTGCAAACGTTAGAGACCGAAATCTAAAGTTTAAAATTCTGTTGGTTAATTAAATAGAAACCTTATTTTTCATATTAAGGCCAATTCACTAACATGAGTCGTTAACGTTAGCCACTAGAATTAGTGATTATAACCGATATATCGGCCAATTAGGTGGATTAAATATAACAATAACCACTAATTCTAGTGGCTAACGTTAACGACTCATGTTACTAAATTAGCGTGAAAATTTTCCTGTGGCGCATTTTACTGTGACCCCCTATACAAGTTACATGTACTGTGCGTTCCATCTAAGTTGGGAGGTCTAAGGAATGTCATGGCGCCCATAATCTATATGTGATCCTTTACCACATCGCCCAATTTACATGGAACGCACAGTACTATTATAGCATTATTCTAAAAATTAAGTAACAGAATATGGTAAAGATAAATGCGTTTAAGTTTATGGTAATATTATTTGAAAAATGCACAACGCAATTAGTTTTATTAATTTTTTTAAAATTTATTATAACTTGAAATGTTAAAAAACAAAAATATTTTATAAGAAAATTAATATATATATATTAGGGTGTCCCTTATTTTTATTTTTTTTTACGCATACCCTATAATTATATTTATTACGTGTTTATATACTCCCAGTAAAAATTTCAGCTCATTCTATAAACGGGAACCCGTGCCGACTTGCATCTGAACCCTCCGTTAGCCAACGTTATGCGCGCGGTATTTTGTAACACGGTTGGTCGCGAGGTCTTCGATCGTAAGTCATTTTGTGTTTGTTATTATGTGACCCTTATATTATAAATTATTGACAAATATAGTTTTATTTATGTGTATACTTTGATAAAAATGTATACCTATTTTCACAGGGAGTGGATAGTTACCCGGAAGGGTCTGGTGAATAGGCCGTAAACTCTGAAATTGATAAACTTAATGGGTTTTACTCTAAATAACTAAAAGAGTCTATTGTGAGAGATGACCGAAAACTTATTGAACTATCTGAAATATTTTTGGGAGGACATCAAGAAAAGAAATGCTTATAAAAAGCTGAAATTTCATATAACAGTATATTTATTATATTAATATATTTAAGGGATAAAATCAACTAAATTAGTGAAACAATTGATAGAAACAAAAGCAATAATATTAATTAGTAATCATATTTAATAAAATCATTAGAAAAATACAGTCATGAAGTATATCTTCTTTTTAAAGTGTTTCGTGTTACAAAATACCACGCGCCTAACGTTGGCTAACGGAGGGTTCAGATGCAAGTCACGGGTTCCCGTTTATAGAATGAGCTGAAATTTTTACTGGGAGTATATAAACACGTAATAAATATAATTAGAGGGTATGCGTAAAAAAAATAAAAATAAGGGACACCCTAATATATATATATGTATATACCCATTTGTTTGCGACTCATCCCTGTAAAATCTTTATTTATTGTGCGATTTTAATCGGATTTGTTTTAAAGTGTAGATCTTGATAAAACAAAATGTTTATCAGGTGTTTTTTATAGGTAACTTGACAGAATAAATTTTTGTAGTTATTATTGTGCATTTTTCTACTTAAAATTTTTCAATAAAATTTAGTATAGGATTGTTTGATAGGTAGTGAATCCAGTGCCGTACCTAGATTTTGTTTAAAAAAATCGCTAATATGAATTCTTAAAAATTTACTCTTAAAAACTGACATAGTAGGCCTTGTATTTTGTAAAAATATGACGCTTTTTGTTTTAAAATTACAGTTTATCAAGATCTACACTTTAAAACAAATCCGGTTAAAATCGCACATTAAATAAAGATTTTACAGGGGTGAGTCGCAAACAAAAGGGTCACTGTATATATATATATATATATATATATATATATATTTGTTAATTTAATTATAGATGGTAAGACTTAACAATGGCATGGGATGGTGTGGCAATACAATAGAGGGAGGTGCAAATTGGGTTCTTTTAGATCTCAAAGCTCCAACGATTATTAGAGGATTTAGAACAATGACGGTATCTAGACCAGATGGTACAGTGGCATTTTCATCAGCAATACGTATACAATACACCAACGATCTTACCGACGTTTTTAAAGACTATAGAAATCCAGATGGTACCGCTGTCGAATTTAGAATTATTGAACCGACCTTATCAATATTAAACTTACCAGTACCAATAGAAGCACAATATATTAAATTTAAAATCCAGGACTATGTAGGAGCTCCATGCTTAAAATTAGAAATTATGGGATGCACCAGATTAGAATGTAGTGACATAAACGAATGTAACGTAAACAATGGTGGTTGTGAACAAAAATGTATTAACAATGCAGGAAACTACTCGTGCGCTTGCAATATCGGATATGAGTTATATAAAAATAATGGAACTGATTCCTTTTATATAGAACAATCAGAAAATGGACTTCGTGACGGGGATATTTATCGTGTTGAGAAGTCTTGCGTACCTATTATGTGTCCCTCCCTAAATAGACCACAAAATGGAGTTATTTTATCTACCAAAGAAAATTATCATTTTGGCGATTTAGTCAAATTTCTATGTGATTTTGGTTATGTGATGTCAGGATCTTCTTCTCTATTATGTACATCAACTGGTATGTGGAATGGAACAATGCCGGAGTGCAAATGTAAGTATTTTAAATTTTGTTTTTTTATAATGTTTATTGGATATTTTTTTAGATGCACAATGTGTATCATTACCTAATGGAAAAAATGATGGTTTGAAAATAATAAGAAGCGATGAAAGCAGCGTATTGGTCCCTTTTAAAGAAAATGTCACATTAACGTGTGGCATTTCCGGTAGATATTTACGTAGAACGGCAAGTTCCGGTTTCAGACAATGTGTATTTGATCCAAAACCGGTAAAAATATTTATTTTGTTGATCAAACGATTTTGTTTAACTGGCAGTATTTTTAGGGATTTCCAGATTATTGGTTAAGTGGCGCTACGCCAACTTGTCCCAGAGTTGATTGTGGTGTGCCTTTACCCACAGCCGGAGCTGAATATGGACAATATGTCGATACCAAATACCAATCTTCATTTTTTTTTGGTTGTCAAAATACTTTTAAACTTGCAGGACAAAGTAGCAAACATGATAACATCGTTAGATGTCAAAGTAATGGAGTGTGGGACTTTGGAGATTTACGCTGTGAAGGGCCTGTCTGCGAGGATCCAGGAAGGCCCAGTGATGGTTTTCAATTGTCTAAAAGTTATGAACAAGGCACTGAAGTGTCTTTTGGCTGCAACCGTCCCGGATATATCCTTATTAATCCAAGACCTATAACTTGTGTAAGAGAACCCGAATGTAAAGTAGTACGGCCACTGGGTTTGGCTTCAGGTAAAATACCCGATTCTGCCATAAATGCCACAAGTGAAAGGCCCAATTATGAGGCCAAAAATATAAGATTAAACTCAGTTACTGGATGGTGTGGTAAACAAGAAGCGTTTACGTACGTGAGTGTGGATCTTGGAAAAGTTTATAGGGTAAAAGCTATTTTGGTTAAAGGAGTAGTTACGAACGATATTGTTGGTCGTCCCACCGAAATTAGATTTTTCTACAAACAAGCTGATAATGAAAATTATGTAGTGTACTTCCCCAACTTTAATTTGACAATGCGAGATCCTGGGAATTATGGAGAACTAGCAATGATTTCACTTCCAAAGTACGTTCAGGCAAGGTTTGTTATTCTTGGTATTGTCAGTTATATGGATAATGCCTGTCTTAAATTTGAATTGATGGGTTGTGACGAACCAGATACTGATCCCTTATTAGGTTACGATTATGGATACTCTCCCTGCGTTGATAACGAAACTCCTGTATTTCAAAATTGTCCCCATCAGCCAATTGTTGTTCAAAAAGATGCTAATGGAGGGCTCTTACCCGTTAACTTTACTGAACCAATAGCTGTCGATAACTCTGGAAGTATTGCGCGATTAGAAGTCAAGCCGGCAAACTTTAAAACACCTGTGCATATTTTTGAAGATACCGTTATAAAGTATGTGGCTTTTGATTATGATGGTAATGTTGCAATTTGCGAAATAAATATAACAGTACCTGATAATATACCACCTCAACTAAGCTGTCCTCAAAGTTATGTTATTGAATTGGTAGATAGGCAAGATAGCTACGGGGTTAACTTTAATGAAACTAGGCGACGAATTAATGCTACAGATGCATCTGGAGAGGTTCACATTGCTTTTATACCAGATAAAGCTACTATTGGAATAGGCTCATTTGAAAATGTAACAGTGGTTGCTACAGATAAATATGGAAATAAAGCTTTTTGTCATTTCCAAGTATCAGTACATGCTACCCCTTGTGTAGAATGGGAGTTAAAACCTCCTGCAAATGGTGCACTTAACTGTCTTCCTGGAGAAAAGGGTCTCCAGTGTATTGGAACATGTAATCCAGGATTTAGATTTACTGATGGAGAAGCAGTTAAAACTTTTTCATGTGATTCTAAAACACCGTGGACTCCTACATCTGTAGTATCCGATTGTGTATCAGAAAGTAAATATATATATATACTTATATTAATTGTGATTTATTAGCTTAATATTTTTTTTAGATACTCAGCAAGCTGACTACCACTTTACAGCTTCAGTTAATTATCGGGCAAATGGTGCAGTCTCCTCATCTTGTTTAAATCAATATAGTGAACTTATTTCACAATACTACTTAAATTTAAATAACATTCTCTCAGAAAGATGCTCAGCTGTAAACGTAAAAATGAATGTTACATTTATTAAAGCAGAACCATATCTTGTTGAAGAAAATATTGTTAAAATAAATTATATTGTTAAGATAGAACCAGTCGTACGTCAACCTCAATTGTATGATCTTTGTGGAAGTACATTAAATTTAATGTTTGATTTGTCTGTGCCTTACGCAAGTGCAGTTATTGAACCACTATTGAATGTGTCAGCTATCGGAAACCAATGCCCCCCACTTAGAGCTTTAAAATCGTTGAACACAAGAGGTTTTACTTGCAGTGTCGGGGAAGTCCTAAACATGGATACCAACGATGTACCCAGATGTTGTAAGTATTTTGTTTAAGCCAACTGTTCAATTATTAAACTAATTAATTTTAGTACACTGTCCGGCTGGTACATTTTCTGGTGAAAATCAAAAAGAATGTATGAATTGTCCTCGTGGGTTTTATCAAAACCGTGATCGACAAGGATCTTGCAATAGATGTCCTCAAGGAACATATACTCACGAAAAAGGTTCAAAAAGCATTCACGATTGCATTCCAGTTTGTGGCTATGGTACATACTCTCCAACAGGATTAGTTCCATGTTTGGAATGTCCAAGAAATAGTTACACCAGTGAACCTCCAACTGGGGGTTTTAAAGACTGTCAAGCTTGTCCGGCTAACACATTTACATATCAACCGGCTGCTCCTGGTAAAGATAGATGCAGACCAAAATGTAGCCCCGGGCAATATTCACCAACAGGATTAGCTCCATGCTCTCTTTGCCCCAAAGACTTTTTCCAATCCCTGTCCGGTCAAACGTCTTGCGACGAATGCCCCACTAACATGAAAACGGACGTATCGGGCGCAACAGGTCGTGACGAGTGTCATCAAATTCAATGTACTGAAAACGCCTGTCAACATGGAGGATTGTGTGTGCCTATGGGACACGGACTTCAATGTTTCTGCCCAGCAGGTTTTAGCGGACGTCGATGTGAAATTGATATTGATGAATGTTCATCTCAACCATGTTATAATAGAGGTACATGCATTGACCTACCTCAAGGGTATAGATGTCAATGTGCACCGGGATATTCTGGTATTAACTGTCAGGACGAAAGATCTGACTGCAGTAATGATACATGTCCAGCTCGTGCAATGTGTAAAGATGAACCAGGCTATAAAAACTATACATGTTTATGTAGATCTGGTTATACCGGAAATGATTGTGATATAACTGTATGTATATTCTTACTATTTTTAAAATATTTTTTCTCCTTAATATATTAATTTATGTTTTAGATTGATCCTTGTGTATCGAACGAAAATGCATGCAACAATGGAGCAACCTGTACAGCCCTTCAACAAGGACGTTTTATGTGCGATTGTCTTTCAGGATGGGAAGGACAAACTTGTAATATTAATATTGATGATTGTGCTGAAAACCCTTGTTTACTTGGCGCGAATTGCACAGATCTCGTTCATGACTTTTCTTGTGACTGTCCATCTGGCTTTACAGGAAAAAGGTGCCAAGAAAAAATAGAAGTTTGCAACAAAGTTCCATGTAAAAATGGAGTTTGCGTAGACAAACTTTATTATCATCAATGTATTTGTCATCCAGGATGGAGCGGTGATGAATGCGAAATTAATATAAACGATTGTTCTCCCAATCCATGTGAAAATGGAGGACAATGCATTGATGAAGTTAACGATTACTCTTGTGTCTGTGAACCGGGTTTTACTGGAAAAAAATGTCAACATAATATTGACTTTTGTTTTTCGAAACCATGTCAAAATGGAGCGACATGTACCGATCTAGTAGACACTTTTTCATGCAAGTGCCGACCGGGATACGTGGGCTTACAATGTGAGGCCGAAATTGATGAGTGTCTCAGTGATCCATGTAATCCCGTTGGTACTAAGGAATGCCTAGATTTGGATAACAGGTTCATGTGTATGTGCAAACAAGGATTTTCAGGACAATTCTGCGAAGAAAATATCGACGATTGCAGTTCAAGTCCATGCCTAAATGGGGGCTCTTGTAGAGATGAAGTGGGAGGTTACAAATGCATATGTCAACCGGGATGGAGTGGGCTTAACTGTGAAAATGATATTGGCAGTTGCCAAAACAAGCCTTGCCAAAATGATGCCACATGTATAAATCTTTTTCAAGATTATTTTTGTGTGTTAGTATACATATTTATATATAATTTTAAACCCATATTTATTGATGTATTTACTAACTCATTTTAAGATGTCCTTCTGGGACCGATGGAAAACAATGTGAAACTGCACCTGAAAGGTGTATAGGAAATCCTTGTATGCATGGTGGAAAATGTCAAGACTTTGGATCTGGTTTAAATTGTTCATGTAGTGAAGGATTTTCTGGTATTGGATGTCAATATGAATATGATGCTTGTCAAGATAATGCTTGTAGAAACGGTGCTACCTGTGCAAATGAAATACATGGATTTAAGTGTATGTGTGCACCAGGATTTACAGGAAAATATTGTGAACTGGATATTGTTGACTGTAAAGAAAATTCTTGCCCCCCTAGCGCTACGTGTATTGATTTAACTGAAAATTTTTACTGTCAATGTCCATTTAATTTAACAGGAGAAGACTGTAGAAAAAGTAAAATTTAAATTTATTATTTTTGTACAATTTATTAATTTTATTAAACTTTTAGCAATTTCTGTCGATTACGATTTATACTTTAGTGATGCTACTAGGAGCTCAGCCTCGCAAATTATTCCTTTCCATACGGGATCCAAGTCTACTTTGACAATTGCAATGTGGGTTCAATTTACACAAAAAGACGAAAACGGTATTTTCTTTACCCTATACAGTGTATCGTAAGTTAAATTTGTTTGGTTGTTGGGTTTTACAATTTTAAAATACTAAAAAATTCTAGGTCAAAACATATGCCAACAGATAAAAGGCCTATAATCCAATTTCATTCGAACGGAGTACAGGTATCACTTTTCCCAGATATTCAAGATGTCTATTTAAGTTATCGTGATTATACAACGGTAAATGATGCGCAATGGCATCATATAGCTATTGTTTGGAACGGCGAAAAAGCTGGCGAGATTAAACTTATCACCGAAGGATTAATTGCAAGTAAAATAGAAGGATATGGCAGTGGAAGAAAATTACCAAAATAGTAAATATAAAATTATACTCTTTTTAACTGATCTTCATTCTAATTGGATTTAATTAAGTTTTTCATTAGTGTGTTGTAATTTAAAAATATATATTTACAGAATAATAACAGAAAAACTTGTCGATTTTGGATCATGCGTTTCCAAAGGTTTTGATAGTTTTATTTAGTTTAGTATACAGGGTTTCCCAAAAATAGTGTGCAATACTCTACACGTTGTTTCTAAAGACAAAACTAGAAATAAATCTTCTTATAAACATAGGTCGGCAAATAGCCCCTAATGGAGCTGCAGCCTCTTAAAGGGGCGCCCCTGAATATGGTTTTTTTTATTAATATTTCCGAAACAGTTTGAGATAAAAATAATGAAATATTTTATGCTTACTTAGCTTTTTATGCTGAATTTAAAAATAACAACAACATTGATTTATGAGTGTATTAAACAGAAGCGGCCTAGGGTATTTTTATGTGCATTTTTTTTGCAAGTTGGCTGCAGTAGTTTTCCTCGCAACATCTATAAAATTTTCCTATAAAAATAAAATAACAATTATTTTTCAAATAAATAAAACGGAGCCGCTTTAGGGGCTCTGTAGGTCACTTGGTGGCAATTTGCCGACCTATGTTCTAAGAAAGTTTTCTTCCTATTTTGGTAATAAAAACCGTTTGTAGATTATTGCACAATTGCATGTATAAAAGTATATAAAAGCTTTGTTTGGGCTTTACTTAAAAATTTCTATTCACCCATTTAAAAACACTGCTAATGCAACATAAACTGGTTTCGACCTGGTTTGAAAGTTATCTGAAAAACAAAAAAACAAAGCGGATACAATATTTTTATTAAAGTTTATATTTAAACGTAAATGTTTTTTTCTCAGTAAAATTAATACCTATAAATTTTAAACATCCATTATAAAGATAATATCTTTATAATGGATGTTTAAAATTTATATCAATTTTACTGAGTTTATGACCAATTAAAAACATATATATTATCTAAATCTTTTAGTGCGTGGGCAACTTTGGGAAAACCACAATCAGGCAACTCAAAATCTTATACAGACTTAGGATTTCAAGGTCATCTCACAAAAGTTCAGATATGGGGAAGAGCTCTTGACGTAACGAACGAAATACAAAAGCAAGTTCGTGATTGTCGTATAGAACCTGTCCTATATAGAGGACTTATCCTTACTTGGGCGGGATATGAGAGTACAGTAGGAGGCGTTGAGCGAATTGTTCCTTCACATTGTGGACAAAAGATTTGTCCTCCTGGATACACGGGTTCAAAATGCCAAACATTGCAAGTTGACAAAATCCCACCAAAAGTCGAATATTGTCCGGGGGATTTGTGGATCATTACTAAAAACGGTTCGGCACTTGTTGCCTGGGATGAACCTCATTTTAGCGATAATGTCGGTGTAGTAAAAATACAAGAGAAATCTGGACATCGTTCTGGTCAGACTTTATTATGGGGTATATATCAAATTGCTTATGTTGCTTTAGATGCATCTGGTAATTCAGCAACGTGTGCATTCAAGGTTTCTGTACTTTGTAAGTACTTAAACAAATAATAAAAGAAAACATTAATTATTTTATTTTAGCTGAGTTTTGTCCAAGGCTAGAGGATCCAATTAGTGGATCTCAAACATGTAAGGATTGGGGTGCAGGTGGACAATTTAAGGTTTGCGAGATTTCATGTAATCAAGGATTGAAGTTTTCTCAAGAGATTCCCAAATTTTATACTTGTGGAGCTGAAGGTTTCTGGAGGCCAACTAACTCTCCAAATCTTCCTTTGGTTTATCCGGCTTGTTCAAGTATGTAATAATATTTCATAATTAGTCATATATATACTTATTTTTATTTCAGCATCTAAACCAGCACAGAGAGTTATTAAAATTGCAATGCTGTTTCCAAGTTCTGTATTATGTAACGAGGCAGGTCAAGGCGTACTAAGACAAAAAGTCAGAAATGCTGTTAACACATTAAACAGAGACTGGAATTTCTGTTCATTCTCTGTTGAAGGTACAAGAGAATGTAAAGATCTTATTATAGACGTAAAATGTGCTCATAGAAATAATAGACAAAAGAGGCAGACAGATAATGATGAAGATGGTGGAACTTATGTTGTTAAAGCTGACGTTCCCATAAATAAGTAAGTAATAACTCGCCTGTGGTATGATGGGCACTACATTTAATTCAAGTGGTTCATTGACAAATAGTAGAACAGTTTAATAACTTATAAGTTTAAATGCACAGTTTAATAGTCTTTTTGGTAAAATATTATTTTAGTTAAATTATTGTTCCAAATATAAAACTGCTAAATTTTAATTTTTCCACATAAAATTACCAACCATCTTTCAATTTTAAAATGTAAAAAATACCTAAATTTAAAAATGCACTCAATGAAAAAATTTGAATATAATTGTGGATCACCCTGGATATATGATAAAAAAATAAACCACTTATATTTCACACCGATTATAATGATGTATTATGCATGTGTTATGTAGTAGAATATAACTTTATAAAGTGTAGTTTATAGTGAATGTGTAGAAAAGCATGTTTTTGTATTGTAGAAATTCTCGTCAAGGAAAGCAAACAACCAGTGATACCTACAACATTGAAATCTCCTTCCCAGCATTAAAGTAAGAGCATATATAAAATGCATGTTGGATTTACTAGTTAATATTAAGATTTATACCCATGTACTTTGTAATAATAATATTTTTTATGTTTAAAAAGCGATCCAGTGGTTCATTCAAGTACAAACGAAAGATCAAAAGTTCAACAGCTTTTAGAGAAATTAATTTTGGAAGAAGATCAATTTGATGTTAGAGACATTTTACCAAATACTGTTCCGGATCCATCGTCTCTTAATTTGAAATCAGACTACGCTTGTCCAGTAGGACAAGTGGTCATGGCTCCCGACTGTGTGCCCTGTTCCATAGGCACATTCTATGAAAAGGAAAACAAAACATGTATGCCATGTCTAAGAGGATTCTACCAAAGTGAGAGTGGACAACAGCAATGTCTGCAATGTCCAATTATTGCCGGTAAACCCGGGGTGACTATTGGCTTCGGAGCGAGAAGTGCTGCTGATTGTAAAGAACGTTGTCCTTCCGGTAAATTTTACGACCATGAAGCTGGTTTATGTCGAAGCTGCGGACATGGTTTTTATCAACCCCTAGAAGGATCTTTCTCCTGTGAAATCTGCGGTTTAGGTAAGTAATTATATTTTAAACAAAAAATATTAATTAAAATTTTATTTTTATTAGGTAAAACAACTAGAACCAATGAAGCAGTATCTATTAAAGAGTGTAGAGATGAGTGTGGAAGTGGTATGCAACTTGCCATTGATGGTAAATGTGAACTTTGCCCAAAGGGTACCTATAGAATGCAAGGACTTCAAGCAGCATGCGTTGGGTGTCCACTGGGTAGAACTACTCCAAAATCTGGAGCAACTTCCATTGAGGAATGTTCATTGCCAGTTTGTACACCAGGAACATATCTAAATGGAACCCTTAATAACTGTATACCATGCAAAAAAGGATTTTATCAACCTGAGTCACAACAGACAATATGTATTGCTTGTCCTCCAAATACCAGCACTAAAGGAACAGCTGCTGTAAGTCTAAATTAAAGTTAAAATAAGTTATAAATATATAAAATCGTATTTAACAAAAAATTTAAAAAAAATAAAAATCTTTACATAAAAAATTTAAAACAAACTAAACTTTGAATTTAAAAAGTTTTTTTTATAAATATTAATGCTTTAGTGCGCCATTTTCGAAACACCGCGGTGTCCTGAGAATGACGTACTAAACTGAAGCGGGGGTTGTTTCATAAAAAAGAATTAAACCATAAAAAATTGGTGTTAGGTCTTCAAACAACAAAAATTAGTGACACCCTAATATAACCATTAAAAAATACTCTTTATATTTTTATATATTTAAATCGTTTGTAGACAAGCAAAGCTGAATGCACAAACCCATGCGAAATGAACGGCCCTGAAATGCACTGTGATTCAAATGCATATTGTCTACTGATCCCTGAAACTAGCGACTTCAAATGCGAGTGCAAACCTGGCTTTAATGGAACCGGAAATACCTGCACGGATCTTTGTGATGGTTTTTGTGAAAACGAGGGAACTTGTATTAAAGATGTAAGAGGAACACCTTCATGTAGATGTATTGGAAGCTTCACTGGAAAACAATGTGCCGAAAAATCTGAGTTTGCATACATTGCCGGTGGTATTGCCGCCTCAGTCATATTAATAATTTTTATTGTTTTATTAATCTGGATGATATGTGCAAGGTAAATTAAATGAATTGAATTAATTTATCTTTAATATTTTTGAAAATATTTTGTAGGGCCAACCGCAGAAAGGAACCAAAAAAACTGTTGTCTCCTGCAACGGATCAAAACGGTTCTCAAGTAAACTTTTATTACGGCGCACCAACTCCTTATGCAGAAAGTATTGCACCAAGTCACCACTCTACGTACGCACATTATTATGATGATGAAGAAGATGGCTGGGAAATGCCTAACTTTTACAATGAAACATACATGAAAGAAAGTCTTCACAATGGAGCTAATGGAAAAATGAATAGCCTGGCACGATCAAATGCCAGTATATACGCTACTAAAGATGATTTATATGATAGGCTTAAACGCCATGCTTACCCAGGTAAAAAAGGTAATTAAAAAGCATAAAATAAACATTTTGTAAGTAAATACACAATAATTAAGTTTCATGAAACTATCCAGAACGTCTGTATTTTTAGTAGTTGTTGGCTACACAGCGGGTTATAGTCCGTCGATCGCCTAAAGGCCGCTGTCTCCTATTGAGGGCGGGTTGACTTCTAAATAAGACAAAGAACGGCGGGCTATAGTCCGTCTAGTCCAGGAAACAGAGATTAAACATCGCAGACTCTACACAAGTTCTGTTTTATTTTTTTTTGTAGATCATGAGGTCCCTATTATTGGTCTAACTTTTTTTTTTAAATACGTAAATAGTAAATTAAAATTTTTCCTGCGATAGCATAATATGCTATCTTTTGCTAAATTTTACATAGACATATGTCTACTTTTGAAAAAAAATCCTTTAGAGAACAAAATGTCCTTAACAGTAAAGGAAATGAATCACAAATGTATTTTTTTTTCAATTTTTGCCACGCAATGCCTTATATGAAAATGGTTCATATATCATTTTGTGTACGTCTTTGATATCTATGTATATCTTTCGCAAACATGTTTTTGCGATTTTCTCAGAAATGCTATGGCGAAGTAGTTTTTCTATTATAATATATACATCTCCTTGCCTATATATTTCCTCAATACCCTTTAGAGTATTATTAGTAATCCCTGCTTAAAATACCCCATAGAGACCTATACAAAATAATCTATCGGGCGCTACCGGATTCAATATGTGCATTTGTCCGTGGTTTTTTCCGGATACGGCCCGATAGAAAATGTATAGGAAATTACCTATAGGCATACCATAACTTTTACATTTTCTCTATTGAAACCGATAGCAAATAACTCAATGAAGGATATATAGGGATATCCCTATAGAGCAACCTTAAAACATTTGACAAAATTTTATTAAAACCTATGGGGTCCTATCGGGAAAATACTAATTTCTACATTTATGTGTATTTTCCCCATTGAAACCAATAGCAAATAAATCAAGGGTGGATATCCCTATAGAACAGCCATAAAACCCAACTATGGGTCCTATACATACCGATACACCCTGTAGAAACACCATACATTCCGATACAAAAATCTATCGGTTTGAACAGGGTCTCTATGGAGTATTTTAAGCAGGGATAGTATTTATTGTGGTATCCGCAGAAGGTCTACTCACATAAACGTATAATGACTATTTACTTGGTTTTCAGTCTCTTTAGCCCTGAAGGACCAGGTTGGTAGTTTACTTCCCTGGGGAATGTATTACATCATCTAATTGGGTCATTGTCGACTTCGTCGAATGTTTGTTGTTCTTGTCCGTTTTCTTATACAATCGTAGGTTAGTAAAGTTAAAGTTGTCAACAATAAAAGAATGAATAAGTGACGCTCCTCACCTAAAGGCAAACGATCATGGTCTCGTTCGTACTTCCAAATGGCTACCACCGCTATCGGCAACACAGACATATATACAAATAGTTTTATCCAAAAAGATTATTTTCTAAAATCTAATTTTTAACTGGCTCAAAATCTTAGTGTGGTTCTTCCTTTGCAAAGAAAATACTGTAAGTTAATATAATTTTACAAATATGTGCGAATTTTATTATTTAAAAATCGTTGACGTTCATTATCTCGGAATTAAGGTTTTGCTACTTATGAAACTGGTGTCGCCTGTCGATAAATTGTTGGGAATATAGTCTTCTTTAATTTACTATTTACGTATTTTTTGTAAAACGTACCGGAAGCGCTACGTTTCTAAAAAAAATTCCCCCTTTAGGAGGATGAAAAGGGAGGTTCTTGGACGAAATTTTTAAAAAGTTAGGCCCATAATAAGCACCCCATGGTCTACCAGCAAAAAATAGAACTGGTGTAAAGTTTGCGATGTTAAACCTCTGTTTCCTAAACGCTGTCTCCTATTGACGCCAGGCATGGAAAAGAGCTGTTTTTGTCCAAAACCCTCAAAATGTTTCAAACTGCAGTGGCAGCAATTTTCATAAAAATTTATATAAATGGGGGTTCTATAATAAATATTATTTAATAAAATTACTTTTTTTCAGATAAAAGTGACAGTGACAGCGAAGGTCAATAAAATCTGGTCATGAACAAAATGCTCAAGAGTAGCACATTAAAAAGTATAGTAAATATTTTTAAAATATTGTTAATGTTAAATTATATAATAGTTGTTAAATTATTTTAAATTAGATAAATATTATAGGAACTAAAACAATTAATTTGTTAAACAAAAGTATTTTTGTATATATAGTTACTTTAAAATATAGTTTTTCTAAATTATTATATTATTATATTTTACAATTCTAAATTTAAATATGATTTTTGAAACAAACGTTATATGTATTAATGGTTTTCCGGGATCTGCTCCGTGTTGTCGGTTTTTGGTTCTTAAAAGAACCGTATGTCTCACGACGTTTCGGTACAATCTCATGTACCATCTTCAGGTCTTATCTACTGGGCTGCTGTTGCTGCTTTGCTTAGTCTAACTCGCAGCAGAGCAGCAACAGCAGCCCAGCAGATAAGACCTGAAGATGGTACATGAGATTGTACCGAAACGTCGTTAGACATACGGTTCTTTTAAGAACCAAAAACCGACAACACGGAGCAAATCCCGGAAAACCATTAAATATACATATATATATATATATATATATATATATATATGTATATTTTTATTTTTTAATAATTTATACAAATAAAATGGTACCCAAAAAATATAAGTGCATTATAATACATACAATAGTGCCATTTTATTTTGTACTTGAAGAAATTTGAATAGGTATACCTATTTAAAGATTAAGTAAACCCAAAACTGTTGCACGTTATCAAAAATTATTGAGTTCTAAATAGTTTTTCATAACGTGTAACAGTTTAAATAGGTATTCCTTTAACTACAAAATAAAATGAATAAAAAGATTTACTGAAGAATTACTGAATTAATTATGAATAGGACATGCGCAAATAACTTGTCCATTTTACATCCAAAATATATAATGAACTTGTTTAAAAAACAGCTATTATATATATTAGGGTGACAGATAATTTTGGTCATGCCGCCCCCTAAAAAGTTACCAAATAACTTAAAAAAGTATGCGCGCTCGAAATTTTGTTTATCTTAACCTTAACAGAGAGAAATAGAGAGAGATAGATACATTTTTAAAAAGTTGTGCCACATTGTATATAAGTATTTTGAGAGAAAAAATTTAAAAAAAGTACGCCGATACCGAGAAGAAAAACCGAGTATTTATTTTCAATAAATATGAAAATTTATTCAATCGTCGAATTCCACTCATTCTCGGTCAACTTAAATTGAAGGAAAATCAATCTAGGTCAAAACAAGTATGACCCTTTAACATCATTTTGCTTCAGATTGCATCATCGGTCAGATTTTTTTAGCGATTGTATTCACAGACACTAAAAGCAACTAAAAGAAGTTCAAAATTTACGTAATTTCAAAAAGTTGACATATGAGTACATTAGATGCAAAACTCGGTTTTTGCACATTTTTAAAAAATATATATTTTATCTTATTTATGTTCATAACTGCACTGCTCACAGCATAAATAAGTAAACCAGATGCATAAGTTAATATTTGTAGAATAAAATACATTTATAAACTTACCGCAGCTGCAAAACTGGGTATTTGTCGGATGCAAAACTCGGTATTTGACTAATCACCAATCACGTCGCTAGTATACGCATTAACTGACGGCATAACAATCACCTGATTAATTGTTATTTTTTTGGTATTTGCACTTTTCACTTGCAAAACTTGGTCTTTGAACGAGGAAGATGCAAAACTATGTTTTTAAATCTTTTGATTTCAATTATTTACTAAACTACTTAATTTTAAAGGACTTTTTTTACTTTTTTGAATAAGAAATGATGCAAAAGCACGTCTATACGATTTTTGTATTTTTTTTTCAAATATGACCTTATGAGCGGTTTTTCGTGTTTTTCTTAAAAACACTTATCCTGCAAATACAGATTTGTGCATCTAATGTACTCATATAAAAGCTCAGTGCGGAGCGCAAGACCAATTTTTTTATTCAAATTAACTGTCACCTTTAGATATATATTGACCTACTTATTTAAATAACGTCATTACCAACGTGCACTAGCTTTATAAGTGTAATAACTTTATATTCTATGTATACAGTATTGTAACAGTACATCAGTTCCAGTAGTAACAGTTACAGTAACTTACCAAAATTTGTAAGTAGTAACAGATACAGTTACCTTAATGTATCTAGATACTTTTAGATACATATTATCTTTTGCTTCTTTAATAAATAATTTTATTAACCATTGATACGCAAAACAGTAATCCACTCAATAAACTTTTGAATAGGTATTTTATGTGCAGAATATTGCTCACTATAGTTCCTTACACTACTTGATGTTGTCAAAGTCACCCATGAGGTTTTATTAGAAATTGTTTGATTTTAAATACTACACTGACGTTTGTGCATTGTATATTCGGTAGATTAGTGTTCTGCACATTAATGGTTACTCTTTTATTTTCTCCGTGTAGGGAAGCTTCCATGAGAAATATAAGGGCGAGACGACAAAAATAGATAGGGTCAAACAACATGTTTAGTGGGTTTGGTAGATTTCTTTACATAATGGCAGTTACTGTAGATTCGTTAAAAAATATATTCACAGTGTTGAATAGGTTCAGAAATTGAAAACTATGTGCCACAGAAAGGTGGAATGTATCTTTTTATCTTAACACCCCTAGTTACTAAAAATGTGTAACTAGTTACAGTTATAGTTACTAGATACGTTACAACACTGTATGTAATATGTAATATTTATATGATAAAAAATTTATGTTAATAAAAATAATTTTATATTATTATATTTTTAATAAATAAATTTAAATTATATTTTTAAAAAGTGAAAATTTTGTTTACTAAATATAAGTACGTCCTTTTTTCAGTTTTTATTTTTAGTGAACCATTTAATATTACCAAGACTTTTCTTAGCTGAGTAATTTAATCTACTTTCTCTTCATTTGGAATTAAAAGTAATATGCATTTTCTATGATTATAAAAAATAAGCTCTTTATGTTTATAATAAATTATTAAATATTTAAGTCTATATTTTTTAATGACTTGTGTATAAAATGTATTGCTATAGGTCTTACATTATAATAATTTAAGTTGTATAGTGATGTATAAATAAGTAGAAATTCTTGATTGACTGAATAAAATATTTATGTAATTTTGTATTAAAGTACAATAAAATACTACAATTGTAACACTTGTTTTGTTTAAAAAACATTTTCGATGTTTTGGCACAATGCGCCGGGTATCATTTTCCAATTTTTGTTGCGATTGTGAGTTCTTGAAAGAATACGTATATATACGTATATATGTATATGACTCCTAATGAGCTCATGTCGTAAAGACCAAAACCCATTTTATTTATCTATTTACTCTATTCTGCAGATTTTCATTCAAATACAGTATTAGGCACTTTCCATTTTAAAACTACCGGTAACCGTTCATGATTTGCTTTTTCTATGAAACTTAAATATGTTGTTTTTTTGGTCAAAATAATAAGACACGTAGGTATATTTTTTTGCAAAAAATGTTTTTTTTTAATTTTTGGCGATTTTTTTTGCGGTAAAAATCGATTTTTTCCGTTGACCGAAAAAGCTTTTTTTTAAATGCATATAACGATTTTGACAATTAAACTTGCAATAGCTTCTACTGATTAACACTTACCATTAAAAGTAACAAACATTTTAAATTCATTCTGATAATTTTTTTATACGATAAAAAACGAAAAGTATACAAATTTTTTCAATATTTAATTTTTCCAAAAAGCGTATTTTTTATTTTCTATTTACTTTTTTTATAAACACACTGCATTTTAACTAAGGAACTGTTAGCCAAGACTCATTAAGAAAATATGATTTTTTTTTCTAACGATCGCGTGCTGCTAAATAAATTTGATTTTTAAAGTAAGTTTTATGTGTAATAGCAAGCAAATAAGATTGGAATTTAAATTTCATTGTGATAGAATCGTTTTACGTGAAAAAACTTGGTGCATTATTTTGTTTAAAATCAAATTTTCAATGCGAGTTACATAAGCATAGACAAGGGATAGGTTTGGGTGGGACGATTTAGTACATAAGTGCCATCTTGGTTTAGTACTACTGAACCAAGAGTGCCATGATCCATGATGCAAGGATTCCTTGTCAAGGAAACATGGTATGCCATTGCGCATGGTAGCGCTGTCTCTCTCGCTCCTTATGACGTCACGTTCGTCAAAGATATCCACTTGTTCCAATGTAATTTTGAGGAGCGCGTTCGCGTTTTGTTAACTTTACAAGTATGACGGCCCATTTATTAAAACTGATTGTGAGAGAAAATTGGTTTGAGATAGTATTTCTACGGATTTGTATTTTGTCATTGTGCCAATGTATTTTTTAAACTACACTTCGCGTCAAATTTAACGCACCACTAAAATTTTTCCACAATTTCAAAGTTGATTTTCTCGCGAACCGTCAAACCGAATATCGTGATTTTTTTATTAAATTGTAGATTAATTCTTCGGTAATAATACGTTTATTGAAATATTTTTTTAAATTTACATTTTGAGCATATACAGGGTGCACGAGTGATGATAAGTTATTTCCCGGAAATTCGAAACTCCCTGTGGGTTTTACCAGCTTTAACAGCATATGACTCATATAATTAAACTGTAGCCCTATATTTTCTTAATTTTTATTTTATTTACGTCGCTATTCAAATTCAAATTTTTAAATTCGCGCGTATTCGACAAAAACATAACCTTATTACATTGCTGCAATCGGGTTGTGTTTGTATTGTATTTATTTCTCTATTGTGTTTGTTGTGTTATTATAGTTAGGTATAAATTGATAAAAGTTATTAAGGTTTTCAAGTAAGTGTGAAAAATATAAAGATTAAATCATAACAAGCATTTTCCCATCATAATTGATTATTTTTTTGGGATTTCAAAATAATTGAAATTATGAATCTGTGCATTTTTATTTACTTTAAGATTTTTATTTGCATTAGGATTTTGTGATTTTACTTTTGTGATTATTTAGTTTAGTATTTTTAAAATCACTTGATTAATTGATCATCTGCTTTTTTATTTCCATTAAGATTTTTTTATTTTACATTTGTGATATTTATTTACTTATTTAAAGTGATTTTTATTAAAATTTGCATTTTTATTTACTTGAATATATATACAGGGTGTCTCACCAGCGATGGTACCTTAGACGTTTACGGAGAACGGCTAAAGATATCAATTTGAAATTTTTATAGCAATTATTGTACAATTTAATCTACCTTTTAAAATTATTTTTAATAAAATTCCTCTTCCGGTTTAACCGGAAGCGACATCAACTTTGTTATTTCCAATGGAACACCCTGAAATTTTTTTTATTTTTAAATACCTCATGAAATTTTTAATGAAATTGCTGTACCATTCCCTATACCTAAACTTAACAGTTTTCGAGTTAATAATTTTTTTCGTAAAATTTGGACAGTTGCACCTTCATTAAAAATTGCTTATAACTTTTTTGATATTCGGTTTGCTGGTATGCTATAAGTATTTTTTTAATCTTAAAACCGAGGGGGAAACCACCTTCCGCAATACGTGTACATTTGGTCCGAAATCACTTGCAATCGTCGCTGCAATCCCGCAGTCACTTCGCAATCGCCGAAATCCCTACCTGCAATCCCGCAATAACCGAAATCTCTATCTGCAATCCCGCAATCGCGGAAATCCTATACTTGCAATCCCGCAATCGGGTTGGCTAAAAGTCAACAATAAGGTACAGCTGTGTTGCCAAATTTATTTAAAATAAGTGTAACTAGGGAAGATAGTTCAAGTTTTTATGTATAATAAAAGTTTATAATACACATGTGTTTGCCCGGTTTTGCCTAAATCATTGACATTAATAAAATCAATGAATATAATTAATAATGTGGTTTATTAACTGGTTAAACAATCTTATTTGCACAGACACTAATACAGTTAAGAGCCAATGGTTGGTTTTATGGATTGTGGGCAACTTAAAGTACTCTAAGGTGGGCAATATGTATGTGGTTTTTGAGGTGACTCATTAGGAATTTGGTATCCATTTTTCTAAAAACAAAATGGCTGATCTAATATGGCGGTCATTTGTCGTTCAGCTTTAACGATTTGGATGAAATTTTGTAAAAAGGTATTTTTGGGGTAGCTGATTATGAATTTTATATCAATTTGCAATTGCGGATTCAAAATGGCAGATATCTATGCGCAGTAGGTACCAGATGGTTCGATCTATGCGCAGTGGTTACTGGATGATCGTACCTATGCACAGTAGTTACTAGATGACCGTACCTATGCGCAGTAGTTTTCAGATGGTTGCATCTACGCGCAGTAGTAACGTGCACTTTCGGCCTAAAAAGTTTTACTTTACCCAAGTAATCTTGGCAAACACATTTTTTTTCGTGTTCAAATTTCTACAGAAAAAAGTATCGTACCTATTTTATCCTAAATATTTTTTGTGTTTTAATTTTATAGCTACTTTTACCACGAGAGAAACGAGACGAGGCACTCTCGAGAGAAGAGTATTCTCCCTGTACGAGATGAGACAAAAGAAGGACTTCTCTTCTTTTCTCGTTTCTCTATCGCAATCAAGCTAGCAATCATATCTACAATTTAACCCAATTTAACGAAAATCGTCTCTCAATCCTCACAATTCCATTGCAGTCCTACAATTACTAATTTCAGGTCGTAATCCTCTGAAATTGCAACAATTTTAAAAGAATTTTCCAAAATCACCGAAATCATGGGTCGCAATCCTCCGAAATCACCGCAATCATTCCGAAATCATGGGATTTCCGCAATACGTGTACATATTTTTTGAAGGTGGTTTCCCCCTCGCTTAAAACATTGTTTTAAAGATTCCATGTCTGAAATTTTTATATTTATGATCAAAAACCAGAGAAAAATCGTGGTAAATTTGCTTAACTTCAAACATTATTAACTTGTTTATTTTCAATGGAACGGTATGCATGTTTTTACATAATCAAATAGGAAAATTAATTACATTTTGATTGGTATAACCATTCCCTATACCTAAATAGTAAGGTTTCGGAAATACAAGCAAATTTCTGTAAAAATCCAATATTTTGACATATTTATCTCAGATACCGATGAAATGTCACAACAAATTAGTTATGTCATTGATTGACAGTTGATACATTTTTTAACCAAGTGGTCATGGAGCCTATGTAGGCTCCATGCAAGTGGTGTTCAAAATTTCCAAAAGCGTTCAAAAATTAAGTAAAATGGATAGAAACAACTATTCCAATGAAGTTTTGATGCAAATAGGAGGGCCACAACGAAATCTCCCAGGCACCGCATTTTAAAATGTTTGCAAGTCAATGGTCGCCATTTTGAACATTTATTAAAATAGTACCTATTTTGGTTGTTATTTTTTCCATCACGTTGTTTATAATTAATAATAATTAAATTCTTAAAACTTTTTTTAATTGTTGTTTTCCATTTTTAAAATATCTTCTTTATTAAGAAATGTATCAACTGTCAATCAATGACATAAATAATTTGTTGTGACCACGGTCTTATATACAGGTCTTGCAACTTCGCCCAATTTCAATAGGAAAAGTGACCTCTCTAATGAGACACCCACCAGATGGCGCATCGAGTTGGATGGATAAACCATAGATGTTTAAAGGTCGTTTTTACCTTCTTTATCTTTGGGTTTTACAATCGTTAGATAAGCTCTCTGGTGGATAATTTTCTTAGATAGAAGGTTTCTATGAAAGTTAT